AAATCAGACTGCCTTCTCCGGACTGAACGAAAATAACACACCACTGAAGCCCCGGAGCTCGAATGTTTACCGAGAAGTTGCTAAACTTCATCGTAATTAATGACCAACCATTATCAGTTGTAGAAAACGAAGGAGTTCTTAGCTTGATACTTGCAGCCAAGATATAGTTTACCCTCCAGGAGATATTTATCAGCCATTTAAACACTTTAATATCCACTTTAAAGCTAGGAACAAAACAAAAAAAACATGCTTTGTGTTAGCAGGATTTAATTCTAACTTTGAAACTTATCCAACATTCATAAAACTTACCTCATGTTGCCTTTTTGTACATGCATATATTTGTACAAATTGTACTTGCCTATATTCAGCCTCATATAAAATCAATAATGATGATGATATTGGGACGGTATCGTCCGATATACAGATTTAAGTATCGGGATCGGTTCGGAAGTTAAAAAATGTGGATCGGTGCATCCCTAACAAGAATTGGACAGAAATATGACAAAGCAGGTGAAGTTAAAAACTTTAAAAAAAAACATCAGAAAGTCTGAAGAAATATTCATCAAGGTCACTTTAATAGACGGTAAAGTTTGACTTCTTAGAAACAAAGTGTAAAATATCGGAGGTGACTAAAGTTTTGCTCAATGATGTATGTGAAAGTGTATTTTGAGGCACTTCCATGTGACAAGAAAAAAAAAGTTTAAAACCCAGTTGGATATATTTTTAGTATTTTTTAGGGGGTCTTTAATCGGCGAATAGGTAATGTATTGCTTTTCTCTCTTGTAGGAACCGAGGTCCAACCTTGCGGTACTTAAAGAGGAGAAGCCGCCTCAGTCTCCAGTTATGCCCCCATCACCCTTCAATCTAGTAGTCCGCCAAGACACACACAAACCAGACAACAAACACAGTGAGTGGCTGAGTGACCCTCAATATGCAGCAAATAAAGCTGCAATGTCAACAGCGTTCTTTGTTGTTTTTATTCTAACTCAAATGCACTCAGGTCTAGGCCTGTCGCGATAACACATTTTGCTGGGTGATTGTCTCAGAAATTATGATAAACGATAATATTGTTTGAAATTTGACAATAATTAGTAAATATTGTCAAATTTAAGAAGAAATATTGGTTCATTTGTTTTGGGTGTAGTACCTTTTTTGACCACCTGATGGCAGTATAAGACTGTTTAAACTGAAGGATGGATAGTGAGGGAGCGAGCAGCGTGTCTCTTTAAAAAAAAATGAGAGGGAGGCCCCTTGACGTGACATGGGCTGTCTCTCTTGTGTTCTCAAAATGGCAGACGCTCGGTGTGATTAGAGCTCTTTAGCATAGCATTTGTCACACAAAGCTTTTAATAAAATTTAAAAAATAGTAAATAAGTTCTCAGCTTCTTTTTGCAGAGAAGAACAACTTTTTACACAAAGGCACAGGTTTCATCCGTGAATTTTGGAGCTTCAAACAGAGGGACAGAGGGTTTTTTCTTGCAGTCAGCCTGTTAGCTTAGCTCATAGCGTAGCTTCTCAGCTTAGCTGCTTTTAACGATCTAAAAATGTGATTTTGGACGGTTAAAACAGATTTAAAAGAGAAAGGGAGGGGTCAGTGAAGAGCACCGGAGTTGAGCCTTTTGTCATCCAGCATCTTCAGTAGAAAGAGAGACACGAAGAAACTATAAAGCCGATAAATGAAAATGAGGTAGATAATTGTCATTTATCATGCGATTAATTTATTTATCGTTTATCGCGACAGGCCTACTCAAGTGCCGGGTTTTGTTGTGAGAACACATTTGAGCAGAGAATATCTCGGAATAAAATCCACACTTTTCCAAAATCTGAGCACATTCTGAAAAATAAGTAAATTGCTCAACAAAGGCAATTGAGATTCATAATGTCTTTATTTATGCCTTCCATAGGTTTAGACGTAAAGCCTCTCGATGGTTCTCGGCCTTTTCCTCGTCTCCCAGACTCCCCAGCACAGCCTTGCTCCCAACAGGACCTCAAAATCAAGCAAGAACCCAAAACTCCAATTGCACCCAAGAAAACGCAGGTATGTACTAGACTGGTATAAAGACAGTCACGTCAGTCACATCCAGTTAATACTTCACTGTCTTATCGTTCACTTTATAACCTCATCCTCTCTTTTGTTTTGTTTTTGTTCCTCTCTAGGATGTGAAGTTGAAGAGCATGGGTTCTTGGGCCAGTCTAGCTCAGAAGCCTCACTCTACGCCAGCCTCCGCCGTGCGCTCCTCCAGCGACAGTTTTAAGCTGTTCAAACAGGCTGCCAGGGAGAAGGAGGAGAGAGAGAGACAGTTGAAAGCTCAGGCAGAGCAGGTCAGGAGAGAGCAAGAAAAACTACGGTGAGTGGGAGGACTAAAAACAGGTTTTATGAGAACGTTATTACACAGCTCGTGATTATTACATGTTAGCAAACACCACTGTGGGAGTTGAGGACAAAGGATGAACTAGATAAAATAGCACTAATGCTACAACAAAGCTGATCTTTTTTTCTCTGGAATGCTAAATGTACAGTTGAAACCAGATTAATTCACTATTAAAACATATTCCCATTGTTTCCACTGTCTGACCTTAAATCAGACTAAACTTTTGTGCTTTAGGTTAATTATGATTTCCAAAATTATTTCTATTTGCCAAATGTCCAAGTTATAAGAGATGTGAGAACTTTTCTTTCTTCAAAGTCACAAGTTTACATACACTAAAAATACTACCGTATTTTTCAGCCTATAGGTCACTTTTTTCTTTTTTTTGCATGTCCTGCGACTTATACGCCGAAGTCACCTATTTATGGATTTTTTTCCCCATATTTATAAACCAATTTTTGGCTGAGATGTGACCATTTTCATTCATTCTGACTGAAAATATTGAACACTACCATTTTCAGCCGTTAGATGGCACTCGAGTAATAAGGCACACACAATAGTATTGTGTCGTAATAGGTAAAAGTGGCTATTAATGACACAATCGGCTTGCCATAGCTGCCGTCGTCTGACTGGAGCAACCGAATCAGCTTCATTTTGCTGCTAATTTGACCATCAAAGAGCATTTATTAAGTAAAAGTTCAAATGAGACATACCTTTACTATAAAGTCGAGCAAACAAATAATTGTTTTTAGGCGGTTATCTTGTTAAATTTAGAATAAATGGTCCAAGTCGCCCTCTGCTCGTGCCCGTTTCAGCTAATCGGGTTTTGAAATGCAGCTGATTTGACCATCAAAGTGCATTTATTAAGTAAAAGTTCAAATGAGACACACATTTACTATAATTTTGAGCAAACATAATTGTTTTTTTATGTGTTAATCTTGTTAAATTCTTGTTAAAGTCCTCCCGTGCATGCTCCTGCGGCCGCCATTTGGCAGCCCATCTATTTTTGCCACACCAGCCCACATTTCCAGGTTTAGCCCACATTTCCAGGTTTAGCCCACATTTCCAGGTTTAGCCCACATTTCCGGGTTGTTAGCGGTGATGCGTAACAAATGTGACACACCAGCGGTGAGGCATAATAGATGCGATGTATACGGCGAAGTGACATATTTATGAATTTTTCCACTTTATTAGTCACATTAGGACTGATGCATCTTACACAGCGAAAAATACGGTATGCTTTTAAGCAATTTGGAAAGACCCCAATGCTGATATGATTTTGGAAGTTTTTCATTGGTTAGTTTTTAACAGTTTTTCAACTGTATTTTTGCCCACCTTCCAAGCACTGGCTGAATTATCTGTATTTTTTAATAAATGGACCTAAACACGCGTTGCCGGCTCACATCGGTTGCTCCTTTCTGTTTCGTAGCCGTGACGACGACGACACGATGGATCATGCTCGCCGAACACAAGAAGACACCCGCCGTCGTCAAGAGCAACAGTCGCCTCTTGCACCAACACCTCCAGCTTCAACTCCGCCCACTCACTCCCCGCAACCCCCTCCCACACAGCAACAAGCTCCACCCCCACCCACCTTAGCTGCACAGAACGCTCTCGACCAGCAGAGGGAGATGGCTCGTCGTCGAGAGCAGGAGAGGCGCAGGCGAGAGGCGGTATGAAATTTACCAGAATTTTTTTTAATTTTTTTTAAAGGCTTTTGATCTGTTTGATCATCCTGTAATCGTTATTTTATTTGTTTCACAGATGGCCGACACAATTGACATAAATTTCCAGAGTGACCTAATGGCAATTTTTGAGGAGAATTTGTTCTGAGAGGAAAAATGACAGTTGGAGAGAAAGACCTGAAGTCTCTCATAAGCAAAAGTACCGAAGCTCTGACTCCCACAGATGCTGCTCGCACAGACCCCCCCCACCCCCCCCCCCCCCCCCCCCAATACATTACACAGACTTGATCACATCTGTCCCTTTCTGTCTGTAATAAAAGCAGCTGGTTTGTGTCACGTGAACAGGAGAGGCTCGAGCATCGTCTTTTCCTCCAGCCTCAGATGTTTGTTTCTGCCGTGGCGTGAACGATCGTTGGTCAGTAATCTCCTGGAACTGCAGGACTATTAAAACCTGGTCAGTGAGACGTTGTTCTGAAAGGAGGAGGAGACGATTAAACCTTAAAAACAAAACAATTAATGGTGCAGAGCAGAATTTAACAAGTTAAAATTGAAGTAAGCCTTTTTACTCGCGTGTAAAAGAAAATGTAAACAAACGTACGAACAAACGTAGTTTAGCTTGTTCTTTTCTCCAAATCTTGTTTTTATAATTTAGTTTGTTTTAGCTGAGGATGGGCTCCTGTGGTCCAGTTTGTCAGGTTAAGCCATCATCTGAGTGGGAGAAAAACACCCTGGTCGCATGCACACTTCTTCTTTATTTAATTTTTTTTTACAGGATCCGTCTCTCTTCACCTCCTTCTCAACAACATTCAGCGTCCAAGGACAACCAGGACGGGACGGTCACATTTCAAAGGTTTTAAATTGTGTTCTCTGCCTTAGCGCTCTGACCTGTACTGATCACACCCCGCAAATTATACATATTATATATATAAATAGAAACATGAATATATAAATATATATATTATATATGTCAAAAAGTCCTTAAAAAAAGAATATTGGGAGGGATTTTGATTGTGGGGAGCAAAGCTCGTGTCTGTGTTTATCTCTGAGCTATGATTTTGATTTTGTAGACTTTACTGTAAAAAGAAAAAGGAAAAAAAAAAAAAAACTTTTTTATGAATCTATTTGAGAGGATTGTTTTTGTCTGTCGTTATTCTCTCGCACATTTTTTTTTTCCTGAACTCGATGCCAAAACCAATCTGTTGAGCGCTGAAAGTTCTTTCACGTTTTTTTGTTTGTTTGTTTGTTTTTACAAGTAAAACACTTCTTCTTTTCACTTTATATTAAAGGCTATGTCTTTACTGCTATTTAATTTTCCTTCATCCTTTTTAAGTCTGGCATTATGCAACAGTTTGCTCTGTAATAGTTGGAAAAAAAGCGGTTTAAAAAGTGACTACTGGTTCTATTATTTTGTAGAGGTTCAGTAAATCTGCAATTAAGTAGTCAATTACTTAAATCTTTTTTTTTTCAGTTTTTCTTTTCTTTGTACGTTTTTAGTCTTTAACTGTCTCGTCAACCACCGTCTTTTCCATAGCTTCGGTTTGAAAGTATGTTTGTCTTTTAATTTTTATTTTTGAAATGTTCTCATCTTTCATAGTACGGTAACCGTTTGGGGATTTTGTGTGCCATTCTGTTTCTACGTAAATGGAAGAGTTTCCCAGTTTCTGTACGTCCGGACTTCTAAAAAGTGTTTTTACGTTTTTCTTTTCATTTCCAATTTCTTTTCTTTTTCATGACTTTATTTCTTTGATTTATTTTACCCAGAACAATGTGTTGGAGTGAGGCATTGAGGTCAATAGATGCGTCTTCATATAATGGAGTACAACTTTTTTTTAAGAAAAAGTATTAAAATAACATTAAAAAAAACTTTACATCATTGTCTACGTCATTTTGTTGTTGATGTTTTGATTAGGATGAATTCATAATAATTAATAATTGCTGAATACCAGCTCTTATCATCGTTGGTGTTTTTGATTAAATCAGAGCAGTTTTGCTGAAACAGTAGATTAAATTTGTAGTGGCACATTTCTAATTCTGGCCGGTGGCCATGACAGACGAACAACCTAATCAGCGTTAGCAAACACAAAATGAATACAGTTACATTTGTTTTGTAAAGGACTCTCAGCTCCTGCCTTGAGCTGTGACGATCATCACTTTCTGAAAGTTAAATAAAATCACCCCTTCAGATGTATAAAAATAAAAAAACATCCAGTGTTTTGAGATATTTTGCTAACAAACAGGTCTCATATATCGACTCCACTAGTTGAATTCACAGTTTTAATTCAATTCAGTTTATTTATATAGTCCCAAGTCACAATAGAAGTTGTCTCGGCACTGAACAGAAACATTCATAAATAAAAATACTAATTTAACACTATTTATCGGAGGAGCAGACTCATCTTGAGCAAGCGTAAAGGCGACAGTGAAAAGGAAAAATCCCTCATGAGCAAGAAATCTTTAGCAGAACCAGGCTCAGGACAAGCGACCATCTGCTTTGACTGGCTGGGTTTGAGAGGAACAGATACACAATGGCAGGTTGAGAATCACATAAGATAGAACTAGTATCAAATGAAAACTTTTTAATTTTAACAATTCATTTTAGAAAATGAGGTCAGTTTGTCCTCTAGTAGTCTAAATGTATAGCAGCATAACAAGCCAACCCTAACTATAGGATTTATCAAAAAGGAAAGTCTTAAGCCCAGTTTGAAAGCTGGACAATGTGTCAGCCTCACGGACATAAACTGGAAGTTGGTTCCACAAGAGAGGAGCCTGAGAACTGAAAGATCTTCCTCCCATTCTGCTTTTGGAAACTCTAGGAACCACAGCCTACAGTCTGAGATTGAAGTGCTCTGTTAGGAAAATATGCAACAATAAAATGTGTAATATAAGATGGAGCTAGGTTGTTGAGGGCTTTGTAGGTTAGAAGTAAGATTTTGAATTTTATTCTGGATTTAACAGGGAGCCAATGGAAAGAAGCTAAAACTGGAGAGATATGCTCTCTCCCACTAACTCCAGTTAAGACTCTGGCAGCAGCATTTTGGATCAAATGAAGACGTTTTAAAGAAGTTTTTGTACACCCAGATAATCAACCATTGCAATAGTCCAGTCTAGCTGTGACAAATGCATGAACCAGTTTTTCTGCATCATTTTTAGAGGTTTCTAATTTTATTGATTTACGCAGGTTGAAGGTGTTCTCTATTAAAGTTAAGCAGATTGAGAACAATGTGGAATATGTGCTGTAAAAGACTTTCAGAATTTAGCTCATTGTGCGCAAAACTGATTAAAATGAAGCAATTACAGCGTATGGTAAGGTCAATTAAATGTGTCAGCCTTTAGGTCTTATTCAGTAATTTCTTAACATTTGGTCTAAAGATGTGGAGAAAAAGTTACTTTTTACCATGTAATTGTATCAAACAATCTGTATCCTGCAGCTATTGATCCAAATGACTCGGAGGCATGCAAGATTTGTGACCTATGTGTTTCTTTTGTTTAGTTCAGAAGGTGAAGAGGAAGGTGATTTGATTTCAGCTCACATTTTGATAGCTGAATTACAGGAACAAATCAAACAATTGAAGTGTAGACGACAAGCTCAAATCTTCTACAAATAAAACATTTATTGCAGACTAACTGCTGCTAACGTGCTGCTCAAAGGTCATAGTAGTGATTGAGCGTGTTGGCCTCAATGGAAAAAGTAAGATAGTGGTTTTGAAAGTGTTATTTGTGAAGGTGAAGCATTTTCTTCTGTATTTGGAGAGTGCAATGCTTTCAGAGCAGTTCAGCAGAGGATGTTGTGGTCTGATCCAGTTTGAACCAGTTACAGGTTGAAGAAAAACAGCAGAAGCCTTAAGAGATCATTAATCATTTGTCTCTTTCAGGTCTACTGCGGTGCATTTAAACACAGCTCAGTCTATCACACATCTGGCGCATAAAGGAAATAAAATAATGAATAAAGTGTTATTTAAACTGTCTCCTGTGGCTCTGAGTCGCTCTGCTCGCAGATACATCTGCCATCATCAGGTTGCGTCTTATTTAAGAAAAAAAAAACTTTCCAGCATGCTTAATTTTGACTTTCAAATGAGTACCTTTGTGGTTTCGCATTTCATTTCAACAATTCAGCGTACATCCATGCTGAAACAGAAGCGTGCGTGCATGTGTGCTTGTCTGAATTGTTCGCATATTTCAAGAACCACTGGGTGGATTTTAATGACACTCCCATGAAGTAATCACTAAATGTACGTTTGTAACTGATTAACTTCTGGAGTCAACCCATTTCAAGACAGCTGCAGAAGATCAACCTTAGACTACAAATTAAAGGCTACAGTGGTGCATGAATGTTTGTGAGCTCTATAATTTTCTATATTTCTGCATAAATTTGACCGAAAACATCATCAGATTTTCACACAAGTCCTAAAAGTAGATAAAGAGAACCCATTTACACAAATGAGACAAAAATATTATACTTAGTCATTTATATATTGAGGAAAAATGCTCCAGTATTACATGAGTGGCAAAAGTATGTGAACCTTTGCTTTCAGTATCTGGTGTGCCCCACCCCCCGCCCCCCGTGCAGCTATAACTGCAACTAAACATTTCCAGTAACTGTTGATCAGTTCTGCTCACAGGCTTGGAGGAATTTTATCCCATTCCTCTCTAGAGAACAGCTTCAACTCTGGATGTTGGTGGTTTCCTCACATTAACAGCTGCTTCAGGTTCTTCCACAACATCTGGATTGGATTAAGGTCAGGACTTAGACTTGACTTGGCCATTCCACAACATGAACTTTATTCTTCTTGAACCATTCTTTGGTAGAACCACTTTAGGGTCATTGTCTCACTGCATGACCCACCTTCTCTTCAGATTCAGTACTTGGACAGATGTAACATTTTCCTTTGAAATTCTGATATAATTCAGAATTCATTGTTCAATGATGGCAAACCATCCTGGTCCAGATGCTGTAAAACAGGCTCAAACCATGATACTACCACCACCGTGTTTCACAGATGGAATAAGGTTCTTATGCAGGAATGCAGAGTTCTCCTTTCTACAAACATAACTCTTTCATTTAAGCCCAAAAGTTCTATTTTGGTCTCATTTGTCCTCAAAACATTCTTCCAATAAACATCTGGCTCGTCCACGTGCTCTTTAGCAAACTACAGACAAGCAGCAATGTTCTTTTTGGAGAGCAGTAGCTTCTCCTTCAACCCTGCCATTGTTGTTCAATGTTCTCCTGATGGTGGACTCATGAACATTAACGTT